CTAAACTTGTTAAAAGATAAGCTAGACAGAATTCTTGAAGACAATGGCATAGGAAAAGACTTGAACAAATCCTCAGTAGCACGTGAACTGGCACAAAGAATCAACAACTGGGATCTCATCTTATTAAAAAGCTTCTACACTGCAAGAGAAACCAACAACAGAGCTAAGAGACAACCTACAATGTGGGAAAAATTATTTACCAGCTGTCCCTGAGACAAAAGTCTACTATCTAGAATATATAAAGAACTCAGAAAAATCAGGACCCCCCAAATATAAAGACCCAATTCAAAACTGGGCATCTGATATGAATACACATTTCTCAAAGAAGTAAATGCATGCAAGCACAAGGACCCGAGTTCAATCCCTAGTACCAAAAAAAAAAAAAAAAAAGAAGTAAATGCAGCAATAAATATATGAAAAAATGTTCCACATCACTGGTCATTCAAGAGATGCAGATGAAAATAACTGATATTCCACCTCATCCCAGAAAGAATGGCTGCTATCAAGAAATCAACCAATAACAAATGTTGGTGGGGTTGTGGGGAGAAAGGACCCCTTCTCCATTGTTGGTGGGAGTATAGATTGGTGCAACCATTGTGGAAATCAATATGAAGATACCTTAAACAACTAAGATTAAAAGTCCCATTTGACCCAGCTATTCCCCTGCTGGGTATCTTCCCAAAAGAATTTAAAGAATCATAACACAGTGATATATGCTCACCCATATTTATAGCAGCACAGTTTGTAATAGCTAAAACTTGGAAACAGCCCAACTGCCCATCAACTGGAGACTGGATAAAGAAGATGTGTTTTTTTTATAGAACGGAGTACGACTCAGCCATAAAGAATGAGAAACTAGGACATCTGTAGCTAAGTGGATGCACACTGAGGACATACTCTTAAGTGAAATTAGCAGGACACATGTATAAATACCGTATAGTTTCTCTGGTGTGATAAACTAAAAATATAAACAAGGGTCAAAATGTATAACTGATATTTTGTAATAGAAAGAAAAGATCTAAAAGTATTGTGTAAATGCGAGGGGTGGGGAAAGGTAAAAGGGAAGAGAAAAAATAAAAGGAAAAAAATGGAAACAGTCTTTGTAAATAGGGAAGGGTGAAGGGGAAGAGGGGGGCTAGGGGAATGGGGAAAATAATAAGAACCAAGATATGTCATATAAAGGTACAAGATCCCAATGATGAATGTAACTGCATTTATATCTAAAATGTCCCAGTAAAAAATACTAAAGAGAAAAAAGAAAGGGGGGATCATCAGGAAGAAAACAGTGCAATGACAGGAACAAGCCCATACCTTTCAATAATAACAATGTAAATGACCTCAACTTCCCAAGCAAAAGACACACACCGGCAAAAAGGATCAAAAAACAAAACCTATCAGTATATTCTATGCAATAAATACATTTAATCCAAAAGGAAATTCATAGACAAAAGATGGAAAACAAGATTCCATGCAATGGGAGATCAAAAACAAGCAGAAGTATTTATCCTATTTTCATACAAAGTGGGCTTTATATCAAAAGAAACATCAATTATAAACATTTATTCATCAAACACCAGTGTACCCAATGTGATAAACAAACAATACTGGACAAAGAAGATCAGACAAGTATCGACACAATTATAAGCGGGGAACCTCAATATCCAACTATGAAAAACTAACAGACCAACTAAACAAAAAAATCAACAAAGAAATATCAGAGTGGAACCACACCTTTGAACAAATAGACATCTCCAAAGTGTTCCACCTACCAACAACAGAATACACATTTTTCAATACCACATGGAACTTTCTCCAAAATAGACCACATACTAGCCCATAAAGCATGCTTAAATAAATACAAGAGAATCGAAATTATCCACACATATTATCAGAGAATAATACAATGAAACTAGAAATCAGTGGCAAAAACTCCACAGATAATTATGCAACACATGGAGATTAACCAATATACTCTTGAAGAATGAAGGGGTCATAGAAAAATTAGTTCCTAGAATCAACACAACTTACCAAAATCTATGGTATACAATGAAAGCAATCCTAAAATGAAAGTTTTTTAACCGTAAATGCCCACATCAGAGAAACAGAGAAACCCCAAATAACCTACTGTTACACCTCAAGGTCCTAAAAGAACAAGAAAAATCCAAATCTATAGCTAGCAATAAGGAAGGCAACTATAAAGATAAGAGCAGAAATTCTCTCTCTCCCTCTCTCTCTCTCTCTCTCTCTCTCTCTCTCTCTCACACACACACACACACACACACACACACACAAAATCAATAAATTTATTCTTTCTTCAAAGGAATAAACAAGATTGATATACCTTCAGCCAAACTTAACAAAAGAAGGAAAGAATCATATTAATGCAATTAGAAATGGAAAAGATTAAATCATAAATACTGTTGAAATCCAGATTCTTAGTAACTAGACCAAACACCTATACTTGAATAAACTGGAGAATGCAAAAGAAATGGATAAACTCCTAAATATATATGAATTACCAAATGTAAAGCAAGAAAATAGAAAAACCTTGAATAATCCTGTAACAGGCATTTAAATAAAGGGAGGAAAAAAAACAACACTCTACTAACAAAGAAAAGCCCAGGATGTGACAGATTCACCATTAAATTCCCTGAACACTTCAAGAAAGATCTAATGCTAATATTCCTCACATTCTAATAAAATTGAAAGGGAAGGAGTACTATCAAATTCATTCATGGAGGCCAGCATTGCCTTGATTCCAAAACCAGACAAGGACCCAACTAAAAAGAAAATACCAGGTCAATTTCTTTAATGAACATAAATGAAAAATCCTAAACAAAAAATTTCCAAACAGAATGTAACAAATCATCAAAAAGAACATACACCATGATCAAGTAAGCTTCACCTAATAGAAGCAAGGATAGTTGAACATACAGTATCAATACATGTAATATAGCGCATAAACAGAAGAACAAAAATCATATGATCATCTCAATAGATACAAAATCTTATATCCATTCATGATAATGAAAATCAGTACTACTTCCACACAGCAATAATGAGACCACCAAGAAAGAAATTAGGAAAACAATACCATTAACAGATAGCTTCAATAAAAACTGAATACTTGAGAATTAACCAAACAAAAGGAAGTGAAAGATTTCTATAACGAAAACTACAGTATTCTGAAAAAAGATATCGAACAAGGCATTAGAAAATGGAAATATAGCCCCTGTTCCTGGACAGACAATGCCAATATTGTCCAAAAAAATGGCCATAGTTCCAAAAATGATATACAGATTAAATGTAATCCCAATCAAAATATGAACAACATTCTTCACAAAACTAGAGAAAACAATCATAAAACATGTATTGAACCAGAAGAGATCCAGAATAATAAAAACAATCCTGAGCAATAAGAGCAAAAGAAGGAGGCATTACAATACTGGTTTTCAAACTATTTAACAAAGCTCCAGTGATAAATGAATCACGGTACTGGCACAAAAACACACATGCAGATTAATGAAACAGAACAGAGGATGCAGAAACAACCCGAAGCACATTCAGCCATCTAATCTTTGTCAAAGGGGCCAAAAACATACACTGGAGGGAAGAAAGCCTCTCACCATATACTAAACTAAAATCAAAATGTATCAAAGATCTAAATATTACAACAGAAACAACCTGCTCAAAGATAAAATAGGTAAAACTCTTGGAAGACATAGGCATGGGGAGGACTCTCTGACTAGAACACAAACTGCAAAAGAAATAATACCACAAATCAACAAATAGGATTATATCACATCAAAGGAAACAACAACAGAGTAAAGAGACAACATACAAAAGGGGTATCCTGCCAGCTATTCATCACACAGAGGACTAATGTCTAAAATAAAAAACTAAAAAAAAAAAAAAAAAAAAAAAAAAAAAAAAT